CATTATTGGTAATTACCAATAATGTATTGTCTAGTGATATAAAGTCACGTTAAATATAAGAATAACCAAAAGATTAAGGGTTCGATTCTTAAAAATAATATTTGTTGGAAAGGTGAGATAATATCATTAGTAATACGAAAAAAGCCTGAAATTTTTAGGGTATGTCATCTAACAATATTTCGTATAAGCCACCATACCAACCCGTTATTTCATTTCCATTTTCCAACACCCAATGACAGTGAAGATCTTCTATACCATAATTTTTCTATCTCTCTATAACAAACTAATATAATTATGACATCTAATAGTAGTTATTATTTCTTGATAGATGATAAACAAATTATTAACATTGACATAATTTCATTAATTTAATATAGAGATAAAAAAAATAGTAATATAAGCAATGTTATTAAAACCGTACCGGTTATCAAACCGGTTAGGGTACTGGTATAGTGGTACAGTGGTTCAACCAGTGGTTCAGTAATTAAACCGCATGCCGGTTAAACCGGACATACTTGCTTATATATATATATGTAAACCTTTAACAAAAAATTTCAAATAAGTAGATATTCATATTTATAATCCATATTCATAATTTACTTCAAATTCACACAAACAAACAACATTAAGTCTTTAATAAAATCAAAGTCTAAAGTAGAAAACATATATTTATCCAAAATTATCACTTAACAAACGCAAAATACAAATAAATGACCCAATGATCAATCATTGAAGTTGAAGAATTGGTGAAGAATTGAAAATTTGAAATTTAAAAAAAAAAAAAATTAATGTACAAACCAACCGGTTTAAACCGGTTTTGACCGGTTTTCAACCGGTTTTGACCGGTTCTATTGCATATGCGGTATAACATACGTACCGTACCGGTTAGGGGTCCGGTTCACTGGTTTTCCAGTTGAACCGGCCGGTACGGCACGGTTTTCAAAACTATGAATATAAGAGCTTGCTCTGATAGAATTTGAAAGGTGAGGGAACTTTGTATGTTGTGTCTGGGATATATAGGGAAAAAGACCTATTCGCAACGTGCTTTTCATAAATGCCCTCTTTCACCTTTTTCACAATTCCCTTCACCTCTTCCTATACTTCTATCACTTCTCACCTCCTCTGCTATCTGCCATCTTTGTCCCTTCATCTAACACCTCTTTCCACGTTCACCTCAAACTATAAATACATATTTTCACTTTTATTATTATTATTTTCCTGATTCAATTAAAATACCATACAACACGCTTTTATATAAATATGACACTTCCTTTTCCCCTGTCTAATCTTTCTCTTTAACTCTCTTTTCTGGTGTAGAGTGTAGACAAACACAACACAAATTCTGAGTAGTCACTCGCTTTATGGAACATCATTCCGTTCAACGATTCGTCGCCATCGTAACCGTCTCCTTCGTATTCCTCGGACTCTTTTCTCTTCTCGCAGGTTTACTCTTCTCTCCCCTTTCCTAAATCACTATCTATGTTCAATAACACACATGTTCTTTGTTTTTTTCTCCCCTTTTAAGAATATTTTTTGGAGTTTTGTGGTTGTGTTTTTGTAAACATGAGTGAATGTTCTTTAATCATTTTTTATCGTTTTGAATTCTTTGCAGGTTTTGGTGGTGGAACCGTTTTGTTCGAGTTGCTGGGATTAGAAGAAGGAAGGAACAACACGTTTCATATTCCTCTGCATCGCAAACTTCTTCATCGCGGTAACTTCACTTTATCTTTTTCTTCGTAGTTTTTATTGAAACGGGAAACAATTTTGCTTATGATCTTTTTAAGTTTTCTAATTTTGCTTATCTAATAAATCCTTCAAAGTTCTCAAACTTGTTAAATTTGTGGAATTAAATAACGTGAGTTAGTAGGAGTGTTTAGGATTGGTTTTTTCCCTAATTGAAAGTTGGAAGTTCCTTTTGAGCACTAGCTTTAGTGGTAATAACTTTTTGGTCGCTTTTTCAATTCACTTTTTTAATTCGCTTATTCCATTCCCTTTACTTTGTTAATTGTTTCCTTTTCGAATTCAATTTTGATAAACGTCAGTAGGAATGTTTTGTCGCGGTGTGGCTTCCTGAGTGAGACTGCTCTCCATCAATGGAGAGGGAAGTTAGGTGAAAAACAAAGGAAGAATAAGATACATCGACATTTATATCATTTTTATTTAAATTAGGATTACACTCTTACCCTTAAAATAAAAAATCACTTAGAAGAAGTCTTACTTTTCCTGCCTAGGTGAATTAATGCTCTTTGTTCACACTGTAATGTAGTAATTGATGTACGAGAATGCCACTTTCATTTTGTTCACAATCTATTCTTTGTTTTACTACCATTTTGATGTAAGGTTCCTTTCGTTTTTTTTAAAAAGGTCTTTAATTTTTATTCATTGGATTTGACTTTGGTTAAATTAAAATGGGGATATAATTTCTCTTTTAAATAGCTGAATACGTATGTTTCTTACATCTTGATATTTTTGGCATTTATATTTTATTTCAAATATACTACTATTTTAGAAATCAAAGATTCAATTATACTCATATTTATTACCATCTTTTTTCAACTCTTATTTTCCCTTTCTTAATTATGAGAAATAGATAAAAATTAAATGATAATATTTTAGTCAAAATAAATCAAATTAATTCATGATAATATTTTTGATATTAAATACACTACTTAGTTATGTATTATATAACAATAACAACATTCATATTATAATATTTTAATATAAGTAATATTATTATCAATGTTATTAAAACCGTACCGGTTATCAAACCGGTTAGGGTACTGGTATAGTGGTACAGTGGTTCAACCAGTGGTTCAGTAATTAAACCGCATGCCGGTTAAACCGGACATACTTGCTTATATATATATATGTAAAACCTATAACAAAAAATTTCAAATAAGTAGATATTCATATTTATAATCCATATTCATAATTTACTTCAAATTCACACAAACAAACAACATTAAGTCTTTAATAAAATCAAAGTCTAAAGTACAAAACATATATTTATCCAAAATTATCACTTAACAAACGCAAAATACAAATAAATGACCCAAGGATCAATAATTGAAGTTGATAAATTGGTGAAGAATTGAAAATTTGAAATTTAAAAAAAAAAAAATTAATGTACAAACCAACCGGTTTTGACCGGTTTTCAACCGATTTTGACCGGTTCTATTGCATATGCGGTATAACATACGTACCGTACCGGTTAGGGGTCCGGTTCACCGGTTTTCCGGTTGAACCGGCCGGTACGGCACGGTTTTCAAAACTATGTCTTTAAAGAGGCTAACATGTCAAGTCATGCCTTTAAACATGACAGACTTAAACTTTGATATTTTTTTAAACAGACTAATATGTCAGACTCAAAATCATAAATGTTATATAGACTTAGTTTATTTAAGGCAAATTTTGATCTAGTCTCATATTTTCACCCTTAATGCGAACGGAGTAATTGTTTGTTGGATCCTTAATTGCTAATTAGTTATAGTTCTAACATAAATGCTTTTTCTCTCTTAAACAACGCTCATCTTATTATTTTGAAGAATATGGATCCTTTTGGCATTAGACTTTACTGATATCTTGATATATATATGATCATTGCATAATTCACAAATTATATGTATTGATATATTAATAATGTAAACACTGTCATTACATAGACCATTTTCTCACATTATTTAATGTTGTCATACTTTTTTTCTCACGTTTAAATTTCCTAATGTAGAAATTCTTAGATGATATATAAAATGAGAAAAGTGTTAACTGAAAAACAATTGTAATTGGCCTGTAGCTATTATTTTTTAGGAAATTCTCATGTGTTATATGCATAATTTATAATACGTGGAATATTGAACATATATATGGTGACAGAAGTATTAATTCAACCTCAAGTCCAGTGTATTTAATATCAAAAGTAAGTGATTTAGATTATGTTAGTTAAATACCTTTTTTTATAGATTTTGGTGTGAAATTGAAAGTTATTTATGTTTAGTTAAAACCAAAATAATAAACTTTTATTTTGTTTGGATTTTGTGCTCTTTTTCTCTATCTTTTATAACATTTTATAATTTAAAGCTACATATTATAATATTCTTATTACTTTCTACCAGTGTTGTGATGACCGGACCTGACAATCCGACTGGTTCGATTGCTAAACAGACTTGAGAATGACTCTGTTTTTTAGTCTTAACCAAATGAGTAGTTGAACCGCTTTGAATTGGAGAAATTTCGGTTCGAGTATACTAAATTTTGTAGTCTTAAATGCTCAATTTTCTACTGATTTTATTAAAAAATAATCTCCACAGAAATATCTATTATTTTTCTAATCAAGATTGTTTTGTGCAGCAGACACTGCAATATTGGAGCCAAACAGAATATGGGGAGAGAAGTGCAGTAAAGCTGATATTGTGATCACTCAAGGACCCACTACCCCACTCCCTAATGGTATACCAACCTACACTGTTGATATAATGAACATTTGTGTCAGTGGTTGTGACATTTCTGGCATTCACCTTTCTTGTGGCTGGTTCAGTTCTGCACGTCTCATCAACCCCAAATTGTTCAAACGCCTTCACTATAACGATTGCATTGTCAATGATGGCAAGACATTGATCAATGGTGGTTCCATTTCATTCCAATATGCCAACACATTCCTTTACCCACTCTCTGTTTCCAAAGTGGTATGTGTTTGACACCATTCTTTGGATCATGTAGAGTGTTTTTTTGTTCCACGTGATAGAGTGTAGGGTATGCTGAATTTGTTGTATTTTGCAGCAATTCATTCTTTTCACTTGTATATACATATATACATATATATAGGTATGTGGCGGTAAGTTACATGTGCAGGTGATGATGGATCCTTGAATTATGATATGATCAAAGGAATATATATGTTTTTTACTAGGTGATGATGACCTTTACCTTTGTTTTTCTGTCTTTTGTCTTATGCGCATCATGACATACTTTTGAGCCATTTCCCATTTGTGTACATTCATTCATTAAATAGAACTGTTCCAAGCATTAAGAATCTACCACTGTATGATTCAAATTTCGGATACATATTCCATCGGGTCGCATCAAAACCGCATCAAACATCATTAAGTTTAAAACTATTTTACTAATTATAAAATAGTTCATACTATAAAGGAACGGTGATGACAACACAATTTAAAACATGACATATACTATAGTCATGCAAATGCTGTATCTTCCACACAATTTAAAACATGACATAGACTAATAGAACAGGTCCCCACCTTTCATTCTTTGTCCCCTTTGAAAAATTACCTTATGAGTGAGGAAGGGGTGAATGCAGTGACCTGAGACGCCTTGTCCTTTTCTTGAATCCTCGGGCGAGGTGATGTCATGGTCAGTTTTTTTGCCTTTAAAGGGTGCAAAAGGCATTGAATAATTTACTATTAGTAAGAAACGTGTGATGTTCAATGTCTCATATTATTGGTCATCGATGTTCGGGTTGGACTATAAAAATTGATTGGATTGGGTTGGACTAGTTTTGTATTTCATAAAAATAAAAAGCCACAAATGAAAAAAATCTATATACAAGATCTCCTCTTTGATTTACTAACTAAAGAAACCTTTTAACTAGAAATGTTGGATTATTTCAGCACATATTTTCCAATAACTCCCAACAACATCATGCCCAACCTGCTATAATGCCAATAGATAATACTATGTTATTGTGTTTGCTAATTTGCGAACTACTACATAGTTTACATAGTTCGTTTGGAAGCGAACTACTTTATAGGCATTAAATGAAATTTTTTTTACTGATTACTGTTTCATTTTTAGTTTAGAAGTCGGTATGGGGGAATACAACTTTAGTCTGAAGTTGGTGTGAGTCATACTGACATCAGTGTAGAAGTTGTTTTCTACCATACCGACTTCTGAACATAACAATCAGAAGTCGTTTCATGTCATACTGACTTCTGAATATAACAACCAGAAGTCGTTTCCTACTATACCGACTTCTAAACATAATAACCAAAAGTCTTTTCCTACCATACCGACTTATGAACATTACAACCCAAAAGTCGTATGTTGCAGTCGTTTCCTGTCATACCGACTTCTAAACATAATAGTACAGAAGTCGGTTTGGGTCGTACTAACTTATGTACTATGTTGAAGTCATTTATTACCATACCGACTTCTAAACATAACAGTTACCCAATTAAGATTTTAATGGTTGAGATTGAAGACAATAGAATATAACGGTTCACAAATTAGTTCACTTGAACTAACTTTCATTTCACTAGTTAGTCACCCCTCTCTTATAATATGACACATCCTTTTCTTTCCTTGCGCCTCTTGATAATTCTCCAGCCATGCAATAGCCTCACTCACCCATCCAAACACCCAGTCCACAATTCCTCCTATACTCTTAGAAGATAAAAAAAAACATCACTTTCCTCTTGGATATTTTCAGGATTTCCTGTGTAATTTTCTCACATCCTCCTCTTCCACTTCACCCTCCACTATCAAGCATCCTTTAAACTCTAGCAAAAATAAACCCGTACTCATAAGTAAAATCCGTATTGTGGTACCCGCTATATATATGTAATTACATTATTATCATTTCCCCTAAAATCTTTAATCATTACTTCCATTCCCCAAAAAATCTCTAATCCTTTCTCATTCCTCCCAAGAACCCCTTTCCCATTCCCTTCCCTAAAATCTTTAGTCCCTACTTCCCTACATTAAAATTATGTGTCAACTGTCTACGTTGAAATCACTTCTACATTCAAAATATAAACCTTTTGAATTTTTTTTACTCAAAAGCATATCAATCACCAAAGAACAAAAAGCATGTCAATCATTCTCACCTTTATAAATTGTGCTGTCTGTTGGAAAATCTTGATTGTTGGGGAAGATGCTACACCACTTGGACAAAGAAGATGTTGATGGATATGCACGTCGAAACCTCCAAAGCGTGTGTTACCACACTAACCTTTAGGTTCGATTCGCCCCCACCAATCTAAGTATATTGGATGCAAATGGGATGAACTGCGAATCCCCTTCAGGATACTTTGGAAACCTTGATGTGATTTGCACAAGCACAACAAGCGTATCTCTCAAAAAACAAGTGTATCTCTCAAAAGTATTTTACAAATTTATGTTTCCCACAATTCTCTCATGCATTAGAGAAGTGAAGGAAGATTTCTAGGCTTGAATTTTCGGATGAAGATTATGGCTTTGAGGGTCTCTATTTATAGAGAAACTCATACCACTTGGTGGAATAGAGCACATTTGGATTTAACATCAGCTGATCCGAATGGGTATAAGCCAAAACGTTTCAGGAATGAAACAAAATGTCACATAGCCCAAACGGTAGGCACATTGTTTGGGAACCAATGCACCCCTGTTCGAATCTTGGTTGATGCACTGTTTCAATTTTAATTTATACGCATTATATATAATACCTGTTGAGTAAAGGAAAGTCTAATTTGTACTTTTTATTTTTGCAAGCATTCTAAATAAAAAACAAAAGTCCAAACTTGAGATTCAAACCAAAGACCAACAACTCAACTCTAAGAATAACAACCACTAAACCAAATATAATTTATATTACATATCATGATAAATTAATATGTATATACTGCTTATGCAGATTTAGATATTTTGGAAATATCTTTCACACTGTCATCCATGGCCTTGTATTCCATATTCTTCAAAGCAAGTTCTGCGCCATAACAACCCATGTTTACTGATTCATTTGCTCCAACAGAATCACGTGGACCGAGTGCTTCACATCCAGAAGGCAACACCGGTCTTACAAATTCAATCATAATATAAAAATTTCGCGAAAGACCCACAAAAATCTCGCTTACGGGTATCTGTAAGGGTATGGGTAGGTACAAGTAACACTCTCATATTTTAAAACGGGGAGCAAGTAGCTATTACCCGTGCTCATTGCCATCCCTAATTGCAACACCAATTTGACCAGCAAATTTTTGCAGAAGTTATATTTACCTGGAAATGTGTTTTCTGCTCAATTCCATACATTTATAGATATATGCTTTCATTGAGGTCTAAGTAAGGATAAACCTATAGGTCCTACTTGAGTATGCTCCACATTATAGTAGGAAAGATAGAAGACTTGAAAAGAAAGTGAAGAAATAAAGAAGATTTGAAAAGAAAGACTATATATATATATATATATATTAGGGGTGACCAGGACTCGATTCTACCCGCTCAACTGGCATGGCCCGATCATGATCGGGTCTGAATAGGGTCGGGTTCGGGTTCAAAAATTAGACTCAATCAATATTTAGGGACGGATAGGGACTCGTCCCGACCCGTCTCATGGTCGTCACTTATGATGTTTGTAAGTGTCTATGTTCAAATGTATATAGAGTAAGTAGTGTACATTTTTGGTCGAAAATATGATTTATTATCTAATTTTTAATCATATATACATGTTTTATAATATATATATATATATATATTATTTTATATGTCAAATTAAATATTCAAACTAATAAATAATATTTAGAAGGCTTTACGTGTAAAATGAGTATATGTTATATTTAGTCGGGTCTAAGGTCGAGTTCGGGTTTAAAGGCTGACATTGTGAATATTTAGGGTCGGGTTAACTACGGGTTTAGGGCCGAGTCCGGGTTCATAAAAATGGTCCAACCAATATTTAGGGTCGGATAAGGACAAGCCTTAATTCGTCTCAACTCGGTCACTTAATAATATTAGTTGGATGTGATCTTCAGAAATGAAGTATACTATTATACTAAAATGCATTTGCACAGCTACATGGACATGAGTGGGGATTCTTCTTAGAATGAAATGATCAAAAGTAACATAATGGGTCCAATTATGCTTGCAAACTTTTGACAAAAATTAAATCTTTGGACAACTTAAAAATGATGTAAAAGGTAGTTTAAAAATTCACACAACTGACTCATTTGTTTAGAGCAGAAGAATTTTGAGACGATAAATTCATCTTATAAAAATTGAATGAAAAGATGTTTAATAAAATATATTGGTATGACAAAGCAAAACTCCCATGTTTGGAAAATATAAAGACTTAAATAAATTAAAAAGGATCTAAGAGGTAGAATATTGACAAAAAAAAAAGTTTGATATTAGTTCACCTAATATCATATATTACATCCAATTTCTTGGCATCACTCAGATTCAACTATAAATTAATGCTCGTTACACCACCAACTATTGTCTTTCGACAAAACTTAGGTACAATTCCTTAGGTACAAATGGTACTTGTAGCCTATTAAAAGGTGACACGTATTCATTATTACCTATACTTTGAAGAGAGAGATTCTTAATTGCAAAAAAAGAGAAAGACTTAATGATATAAATGAACACATGTCACCTTTTAATAGGCTACAAGCACCATTTGTACCTAAGGAATTGTACATAAGTTTTGTCCATTGTCTTTACACCTAGCATCTCTAGGGTCAACTAGGCAAGTATTGTTTGCTCATGTAATCTCTCCGGGTTCAACACCAAATAATTAGGGATGACAAAAATATTCATACCCGTGGGTACCTATAAAAATATTCATAGTGTGTATCCGCAAAAATAGCTAATGAGTGAGAATGAATATCATGATCCTCTCCCCGTGGGTACCCACGTACATATTTTAATTTAATGTTTTATACTTAGTTATTGTTATTTTAACATTATATTTGTCTATTTTATTATTATTTTATAATAAAATTTAGTGATGATACTATAATCATAAAATTATGATATACATATCATATTATTTAAGTAATAATTATGTTTATAGATTAATTATTGTAAAATATATAAAAATAGAATTAAAATTGGAAACTCGTTGGGTACCCGCAGAAACCCGCTACCTGCACGGGTACCTGCAAATAGTGTGGGCATGGACATGGATATACATTACTCGTGTCTGCCCGTGCCCGTTGCTATCCCTATAAATAATGGTTTATTTTAAAAAGAATCCAATTTAGCTCAACTTTATTTAATAAAAGAGATTAACATAATGTTCATAGTCTCAAATTATTCTCTCTTGTTTTCTAAGGTTGTATATATTTTATTCTTTAATTCTAAGGTTATTTATAGTTTAGGCAATTAATGTAGTCATTATTATTATTATCGTTGAAATTAATATCCGTTGAAACTTATTTTTTCTTCAGTTTGATTTTTTCTTATATTTCTATATTATCATTGATGCTTAATAATCATTTTGTAATGAACATATAATATGTCATGGTTGTAGAATAATTCTCATAGAAGAGAAAGAATATATATTCTATGTAGTAGTTTCAAAAAAGTGACAACCAACATGGTTCTTTTTTATTTTCAGTAGGAACTTTCTTTTAAGGCAATAAAATCTCTTGCTATTTGCTAGCTTCTTTTAATTTGCTTCGGTTCTATTATGTGAAAATAAGGAATCAAATTAGGGATCCATATGATGATGCCACTTTTAGAGCAATTTTTCCCTATCTACTTGTCTCTTCATGTAGTGTAAGACATACAAGCTCAAAGTTGCAACGGACTTAGTTGAAAAATCATTTACTTCCATGGTATCGGTCACTTTAGGTTGTCGAGACTTATCAAGACAACTTAACACATTATTAATTAATTCATCTTTTGTAAAAGTTTTTCCTAAATCAACAAGATAATTAGCAATATGGGAAAAACATTTTTGAACTTCATTAATGTTCTCATATGATAGTATGTGAAACAATTCATATCCTTGCATTAATGTGTTCATCCTAGCACACTTAACCTCCCTAGTTTTCTCATGGGTAACTTGTAAAGTATCTCACATGCCTTTAGCATGAGTGTTATTAATATTGTATTAGTCATCAAATTTGTAAGGGTTCTAATATAGTGGTATAACAGTTCAACCGGTGGTTCACTAATTAAATCGCATATTATTGGTGAAGTTAGATATACATATATAATATATTAATATTAATGTTGAATAAATAAAAATCGACCGGTATGACCAGTACGGTTCAATTGAAAACCAACTAGTATGACCAGTTTTGGCCGATTTTGACCAGTATAATTACACGACCGGTATAATTATTGTAGAGTAAATTACACTCATACCCCCTGAGTTTTAGTGAAATTACACAAACCACCTCTCACTTTTTTGTCATTACACGAACCATCCCTAATTTTGTACATATGTTACACTGACTACCCCTGCATAATATAAAAGTGTAATATTTTAAACAAAAAATGTATGATGTGTGTAATTAATTAAACAAAATATTGTATATTATGTAGAAAAATTCAAATAATATAAGAGTCAATGCGTCTTTATTATTTGGCTCGTTATAAAATAATATAAGAGTTATTTAAACATTTCTTTGAAATTATTAATGTATTTTTTAATGACACAAAATAATAAAGAAACATTCGCTTTTGTACTATTTGAAGTGTTACACAATATACAATATTTTATTTAACTTAATTACATTCATCACACATTTTTTCTTTAAAATATTACACTTTTATAACATACAGGGTAGTCTGTGTAATGTATGTATAAATCTAGGAGTGATTTGTGTAGGAGGGAGTGATGGTTTGTGTAATGACAAAGAAGGGAGGGGTGATTTGTGTAATTTCATTAAAACTCAAGGGGTGTGACTGTAATTTACTCATTATTGTATCATACCAGTATTGGAATCGATTCACCGGTTGAACCAACCAACACGGACCAGATTTTATAACTATGCTCACTACTGTATTCAAAAACTCTAAGGAAATCATCATTACACAATGCAAAGGTGATAATATTATTTGAGCTAAAATTATTTTGGACTCTATTTTCTCTTCCTCATTTCATTAGGATTTGAGTTTATCCATTGCAATGCGATCAATATTATGCACACGAGACCCATTTTTTACTAACTCTCAAATATATACATTTATAACCTCAATGAAAAACTGTTCTTGATACCACTTGTTTGGATAAAAAATTCATTAACCTAATTAATCAAGATATATTTAGTTTAAGTTCCACTATGCTTAATTTTCATCTCAAAATCAGTTAATTTTGTTTATGAAATTCATTAACCTAATTAACGAGTGAACTTAATGAAATAAGATATAAAATATGTTCAGAGAAACATCATAAGCTATCTATACAAGTCTAAAACAAATTCTC